GATTATGTATGTATTGCATCATGGGGACCAAATGTCCCCACATTGTATTAAAAAAAAAAAAATTCAGTCCCCACAAGGGGAAACTCAATTTTATAAGAATCTATGACTGCACAGATGACTGATGAAAAAGTGAAAATGCCAAAAGTCTCGTATTTTGCGTGGTTATTTATGATCGAGGTTAGGGCTGGGTAGGGTTAAGGTCGTCCTTGTTGGGATTAGGGTTTTGCCCCAAATGAATGGCGAGTCCCCACAAAGGTATGCATGCAGACGGGTGGTTTTAGCTTAAGCTGCTTGACCAATGGAGGCTGCTTCGGGTCCGCAGCTGATTGCCATCGCCACGGGCGGCCGCATCGTGCCCCGCTTCTGTGAGCTGACCCCCGAGAAGCTGGGCACCGCGGGGCTGGTGAAGGAGATCTGCTTCGGCACCACCAAGGACCGCATGCTGGTGATCGAGGAATGCCAGAACAGCAGGGCCGTCACCATCTTCATCAGGGGCGGCAACAAGATGGTAAAGCGGCATGCGTCACTGCGTCGCTCCGTTCAGTCAGATACGCCTTAAAATTACTTCCTTATGAATTCCCCTCCTATGAATTGCAAATACCTTGTGTATGATTTGGACAGGCACACATTGTTATCTGATGCTGAATGTGTGTGTGTCTTCTGGGTAGATCATCGAGGAAGCCAAGCGTGCCCTCCACGACGCCCTGTGTGTCATCCGTAACCTGGTACGCGACAACCGCGTCGTGTACGGAGGCGGCGCTTCTGAGATCGCCTGCGCTCTCGCCGTCAACCAAGCCGCCGACAAGGTATGACGCAGCAGGCACGTCTGGCTCTGCGTATTAATCTGTGTTCGGCCGCAGGAGGTCGTCCAGTCATGGGCTTTCGGGGAAGCTCCCTCGTTGTTCATTCCAGATGATGTCAGAGCCCCGCTAAAGCGTGTACCGCGGTGTGTCTCCCTCTGCAGTGCCCCTCCTTAGAGCAGTACGCCATGAGAGCGTTTGCCGACGCCCTGGAGATCATCCCCATGGCCCTAGCAGAGAACAGCGGGATGAGCCCCATTCAGACCATGACCGAGGTCCGTGCCAGACAGGTGAAGGAGGACAATCCAGCGTTGGGAATCGACTGCCTGCATCAGGGCACCAATGGTACGTGAGCTCGTCACCTCGGGGGTGGGGGTGATGCAACACACTAATGCAATGATACTCCCAGGTGGAGAGTAATAGGATAGTGAGAGAGAACTGATATCAAGCAAAGAAAGTCAGTTCTTTTGAAACTGTACTTGGATTCTGTGGTAATTTTGTTACTGTTACCATAGAATGGACTGAAGCAGCGTCCTGCTGCTCCCAGTTAAAATGCATGCGGCCTGTGTAATCCTGGCATGTTCCCCCAGACATGAAGCAGCAGCACGTGATCGAGACGCTGATCGGCAAGAAGCAGCAGATTTCTCTGGCCACTCAGGTGGTGAAGATGATCCTGAAGATCGACGACATCAGGAACCCGGGCGAGTCGGAGGATTAATGCTGGGTCTCCCTCTGCCATGTCTGCTGCCCGTCGCTGGGCGTGAGCATGTCCGGTTAGGAGGACGGTTATTTATTCCCTGCCATGTTAACCTTCCAAGCTGTAATTGTACGGAGTTCAGAAATAAACTGAGACGTCATAAATCACTTTCGGCATATTGGCTTTTTTTTTTTTTAATCATTTGGTTAAATTGCCATCATATTGCACTGCTCTACAGCATTTTGCATTCTGCTTTTATTTCTGAATTACATCTGCATAGGTTATTGGAAAGTTTTTCCATTTTCTGATCGAACTGTACTAGGCTGTATTCACTGTGAAGAGCTGGGGCACCAACCATATGAATTAATAAAAATCAGTATCATAGAACAAGTTTGCGTGTTTGGCTAAAAAGCACTGTACATATCCGAGTCTTACGCTATATTTACATATCCGAGTCTTACGCTATATTTACATATCCGAGTCTTACGCTATATTTACATATCCGAGTCTTACGCTATATTTACATATCCAAGTCTTACGCTATATTTACATATCAGAGTCTTGCGCTGAGAGTCCTCTGCTTCTGTGAAAAAGACTGCCATCCAAGTTGCGAGACTCAGATTTTACAACATTCTGACGCTGTTGTTAGGGGTCGGCAACTGGGGCCATAATTCAAATTCTCTGAAAAGGTTACATTTAATACACAGCAAAATCTGGAAAGAACGAAACCAGACTTTTATTTAGTGGTTTTCTATTCTTTAATTTATTTTTGCTAAACAGGCGTTTATACTGGATGCGTTAATGTAGGCGTGTTTAAATTTTGTTCTGTTTTATCGCCAGTATGTAGAACATGCAGGAAATTGTTGAAAAAGAAACTTCGGACAACACAATATATAGATTTACAACAAAGTGCAAGTATAATTGACAATTAGCAACACAGTGCAAATAAAAAAAATTGTATGGCTTGTAATGCATTGTTATATATTTGACTTATTTTCTATGATTAGTCCTACATTATATGGACAAAAGTATTGAGACACCTGCCCATTACACCCACAGGACCTTTTATCAGACCCCATTCTAAATCCATAGCCATCAATATGTAGCTGGTCCCCCCTTTGCATCTATAACAGCTGCCACTCTTCTGGGACGGCTTTCTACAAGATTTTGGACAGTGTCTGTAGGAATCTTTGCCCATTTATCCAGAAGAGCATCTGTGAGGTCAGGCACTGATGTTGGATGTGAAGGCCTGGCTAACAATCTCTGTTCATCCCAAAGGTGTTTGATGAGGTTGAGGTCAGGGCCCTGTGTGGGTCAGTCAAGATCTTCCACACCAAACCCACCCAACCATGTCTTTATGGACCTTTGTTTGTGCACTGGGGCCCAGTCATGCTAGAACAGAACAGGGCCTTCCTCAAACTGTTCCCACAAAGACTGAAGCGCAGAATTGTCCAAAATAACATGGTATGCTGAAGCATTGAGTTCCTTTCACTGGACCTAAGGGGCCTAGCACAACCGCATACCATCATTCCCCCTCCACCAAATTTTACACTTGGCACAATGCATTCAGGCAAGTACTTTTTCTCCTGGCAACCGCCAAACCCGGACTCATCCATTGGATTGCCAGGTAAAGAAGCGTGATTCATCACTCCAGAGAACACGTCGCCACTGCTCTAGAGTCCAGTGGCAGTGTGCTTTACACCACTGCATCTGACACTCTGCATTGCACTTTGTGATGTAAGGCTTGGATGCAGATGCTTAGCCATGGAAACCTGTTCCTAGATTATAAATTTTGTATTCATTGCTTTTCATCATTGTTATGGACAGAATTTATTAAAGTACAAAAAAAAAAGTAAAAAAAACAACAGAGAGGAAAAAAAAGGCACCGCTGGGATTCGAACCCAGGATCTCCTGTTTACTAGACAGGCGCTTTAACCAACTAAGCCACGGCGCCGCACGTTACGACAGCAACTATAAAGCCTTGATAATATAAATATTACATAGTTATACCCATTTCCTGTATTATGGAATATGTAATAGATCTTTTTTCACCGTCTAACTTGTTTTAGTAAATCGGGTATGTTATGAAAAGATATACCACCTTAGAGTGACGAACCCCCATGATTCACGTGATGTTTATGGAACACCCTGCATTTTACTCGATCGGAGAGTGATCTGTTAATCACGTTTTACAATACATAAACGTACACATAAAAAGCTATGTCACTCATTGGGACGCCATAGCCAAAAGAAACTTAAAAAGGTAGTTGAATGCAATTATCTAGTGGCCCCTATATATATTGAGTAGAATCTTAATGGAGTTAATAAATAATTTGTTTCTAGAAATACTGACAACCTAGCACAGGAACCAGACTCATCGGCATGTTATAAATCTTTAGAAAATCTTTACACATTTCCAGGAAAACGAGTTGTGGCTTTCGTTCTTTCTACAGACCCACAAGCCGACTGCCGTCGCTCATTAGCGCATGCGCACTAACCTGTCGTAAACATTGTAGTATTGCTGTCAGATACTAAATGCATTTTCACAATATAGCTGGCTAGTGCGAAGTACCGGTGGGGTTTGAGGAAAGAGTCGTTAGCTACAGTTAATTAACTAACAAAATGGCGATATGTCATGTTGAATAGGTAGTCGAGGAGTTGGTGTCATTATTCGCCGACTGAGTCGACGATAAGGCTGCACATTGTAACGGAAGTGGCTAACGTTGCTAAGTTTGAGTAATTAGCTAGGTAGCTGGCTAGCTGGTTAAAGAAAGGGCCGCGGACCCGGTCCCTCATTTCAAATTAGCCATCTGGTTAGATGTTTCGGTTAAGATTGTGTTTTTATTATCAGACTCCACACGTTATATTGATGTGAAGAGGACAGTCCGCTGTCGTTCAAGATGGAGGCCGCCGAAGAAGGTATCTAGCTACTTATAAATAAACGGGGCAGCTAAAGTGCTACGAAACACAACCGCCAGAATCTGTGTCGTTTCCTTAATAACCTCATAGAAAATAACTGCATATATATATATTGAATGAATTGCATTGAGCTTTGCCACGGAAGCTAACGAGCGCTGCGCTAATTACACGGCTAGGTAACATGCTGCGGTGTCGGATAGTGACCGTGCTGGCAGAGGGGGCTAACTTTTATTTACTAACTGACTTTAATAATGTCACCTTCTATATATAGGTATTCTGTTCCCAAAATAAGCTTCTTCTGATATTTAGACTGCTACCGATATCAGCCGCTGTCTGGCTAATCGCTTAGAGTAAATGTCAAGCAAAGTAGTTCCTAGTTAATTTAGTTAAATATAGTTTACTGTACCTAACTGGGTAATCAGATGCCTGTTTATTACTAGAGTTCTCGCACACACGGGAGGGAGGTACTGTTAAGTGGACATTTAAGGGCTGGTTAGCGCTGGTTAGGCCCCATAGTTCGGGCACCGCTCCGTCGCCAGCCCATCTTACACTAATGTACTTTACTCAAAAGATGAAAACAACTGCATTGTATTGTCTTGTCATGATTTCTTTATAATGTGTATGTGCTTGCATGCTCTTGGCCATTATCACCCTACTTCTGTGGCTAGGCTGTCACTGTCCTGTAAGATGTTTTGAGGTGTTTGTTCTTCCTGCCCAGTGATTCTGGTGTAACCCACCAAACAAATTAAATTGATCTCCGTGAGGATCTTCAGTGAATATCGTCAGCAGTCTGTTTTGCGTGTTTATGTTTTCTTGGCAAGCTGTTTTTGATGGGCTTTATTTTTTTTACTTATTAAATGCTTTTTTTCTAGTTCAGAGGAGTTGATTAACGCTGAATGTATGAATCCACGTGGCACAACAGAGTTTTATTGGCTCAGCCTATGATCTTCCGGGTCCTCATCAGCAGCGGCCAATGGCCGTCTCTCCTCCCTTTCACAGCTGATATATGCAGGGTGTGCCGGTCTGAAGCGACCCACGACAAGCCCCTCTACCACCCATGCGTCTGCACTGGCAGCATTAAGTTTATCCACCAAGAATGGTATGTACCGCCTACCCCTGCATCTTTGTGTGACAGGGAGACCCTCCGGGGAAGTCAGGAATGAGCTCTTAATTGAACTTTTATTGATCCCCGTGGGGAAATCCTCTTTTTTTACCTCCCCTCATCTCGCTCTCCATGAGAACAAGCCCTGGCATGAAGGGCAGCCACCTGTTGTGGTGCTCAGGGAGCTGGGGGTTACAGGCCGTGCTCAAGGACCCACAAACGTGCTGAGGTCGGGCTTGAACCGGCAACCTTCCGATCACAGGCACAGACATGCCTGTAGCTCTCATCCCCATATAATGTGTCATAAAGTTCAGTAATGTGTACTTTTTAATTCTATAATTGCTTTTCTGGTGCTGCAGTGTCTGCTTGTAGTTTATAATGTTTCCCTGTGCCCAGCGCATCCTAATAGGTTTTCGTTAGAGACAGGAGCAGCTCTAACTCCTCTTCCCACACACCCCCACATCTGAAAGCCCCATTTCCCACCCAGCATCCTCATTAGATGCCAATTAGTCAATTTCTCCACTGACACAGACTGGGCATGTCTGCTTGTAAACATGAAAGCGCCACTTTGCTCCTTCATAAAGGATCTGAAGCGGCTGCATTTTTATTTATTTTTTTCGCAATTGGGACGAAACAATTATCCGCCGGAGAAAGTGTAATTGATTACTTAATGTGGGCTGGGGCTGCCCCACGGCCCACAGGAGCTGTGCACCTCGCTAACGGAGCGGGGAGAGCATGTTAGCTTAGCATGTCTGTGCGGCATTAACTTAATAAACAGTGACATCAGCTCAGTTAGCCAAGCATTCCATTGAAGATTTTAGCAGTATTGTATAACCAGATCTGTTCTTTAGTCCCTTATTGCCTGTTGTGAAGTTTTCACGTTAAAGTCTGACCTATTTTTTGCTTGGCTTTGCTGCTGTCATTTGCTTCCTCAAAGTCTCACTTGGGCTCTTCCTCTGGCTCTTTAACAATGGATTTCCTGCACGTTTGCAGCATCAGCAGATCATCTGTCCTTCCTCCCCGTCCCTTTAAAAGCGCGGCCTGGTGACGTGGCAGACCTGTAATGAAAGACCACTGAACAAAGGGCTCAGTAAACCCAGGCTTTGGGAACCTGTATTATAAGCTCACGCTCTGTTTGTGGCCTGCCAGCCAAATAGGAGGCACTGCTGTGCAGGATCTCCCATCTACTCACCCGTCTGCGAGCATCACTGGCAGAGTGTAGAGGCAGGCGTGTTCGGGCGGAGCTGCAAGGCCGCCAAGCAGATGCTTATCGCAGCTGAGCTGCGTCTGCGCGGTCTCTGCGGCTCTTTATGACTGTGCCACTAACATTGTGCCAGCTGCTGGCTGCACAGTTTCTGCACACAGGTGCTTCTGAATTTCCAGGAGGGATCAGCTGTTTCTTCCATACTCACAGCTTGTCTGGCTGGAGTCAGGGAAAGAAATTTGCCATGTGTTCGGAAAGAGGCTTTCATCAGTTGTGAGTGAGCTGGTATAACCACTAGGGGCAGTGTTCTGAATTCCCCCAGCTGATCAAGCTGCCAGTTTCCTAATTCTATGCATCTCCTCTGCACACTTAATCTGGCTTCCTCCTGTCTTTCAGCTTGGTCCAGTGGCTGAAACACAGCAGGAAAGAGTACTGCGAATTATGCAAGCACCGCTTTGCTTTCACGCCCAGTAAGTATTTCCAGCTCTCCACAGATGGTCAGTGGTTTCTCCTGTAGCTTTTGTACTTTTAGGTAGTCACTTGGCCTTTGTTAAACTTTCCTTTTTACTCTTAAGCTCCGTTTCTACAAAATTGCCCCACATATGACTTTCTGACTGTGCAAACACTGTGTGCTTTTTGTACCTGGTTGTAAAAGGAAACACTGTCCTTTTCTGGGATTATTGTATAACTGCTTTTAAATGCCGAGTCATATGAAAACTGCCCCCCTGTAATTGTTGCTGTAGTAGAGCATCAGTCTCATTCCTGTGCTTCTTAACACGGACGTGTCTGAGTGGTACAGCCTGTCTGGGGGGTGCCCAGGCATCTGATGTTCTCATGGCTCCCTATTGTGTTTGGTGAAGGTTTGTCCCACTGGAATTCTTTCAGTAGCAAAAAATGCAAATAATAAGTGCAGACCGATATTTGGATTAAATATATATTTCAATTCCAAAGGCTATCAGCTGAATGCCTGAATGTTTTAGCTTTGGCTGCTTTGAAAGCATGTTTATGAAGTGAATTTTTAAAATAATGATCTGGGTTCTTGGATCGCAGTGCTGACATCGGCGCAGTGTCTGCACTGCGGAGCAGCATGCTGGTGGACAGGGTCCGCAGTGTCAGCACTGCGGAGCAGCATGCTGGTGGACAGTGTCTGCAAAGGGAGTCTGGTGTGGAGCTGCCGGGGGGGGGCGGTTTCCCGCAAAACGCAAACAGCTGAAGCCTTCTGGCATCTTCTCCCCACCCTCCCTGTCCAGTTTATTCCCCAGACATGCCTTCCCGGCTCCCAGTCCAGGACATCTTCGCTGGACTCGTGACCAGTATCGGCACGGCTATCCGGTACTGGTTCCACTACACGCTGGTGGCCTTCGCCTGGCTGGGTGTGGTTCCCCTTACAGCCTGTAAGTGTTAAACGGATCCCCCGCTCTCCCCCACCGGGGGGGCGGGCTTTTTCTCCTGCAGAGTCCCCTGCCCACGCTCACTGGTTCTGCCTGCACACCAGCATAATGCCCAGCGCCTGCAGGCAGTCTCTGTCACTGCTGGCAACCCGCAGGTTCCCGTAGGCGGCAATATCTGGCAACCCTCTCCAGCTGAACGCTGCATCCCTAGACAGAGCCCTAAGCTCGGATACACAGCAGTGTTTAATTCCACCTTCAGATCTCAAACCTCTGCTCTTCTCTTACATAAAGTAAATAATATGGCAAGCTGAATTGGATGAAAATATTGATAACATATTTATGAAGTCAGTCGAGTTATTGGAAAGCTGACAGTCAACTTTAAAAATGACTGGGGACAGGTCAGCTGTACAAGGTGTCATGGGCCATAGCAGGATCTGCCTGTGTGTTCCACATGTGCACGGCTGCAGAAAATGGACGGATGAATAATGTTTTATAGCTATTTATGAAGATTCTACTTTCTTGGTTCTTTAATCTGTGTAATTACCCATATACTCTCACCATGAATAGAGCCCTAGTCACTGGCATGGTGTTAAGTATCGACATAGCTAGCTAACAGTCTTCGGCACAGTGACAGTACTTACAGGTTTCCTTGGGAGATTTTATTTTGCTGAATTGCTCGTCTTCATTGCTTAGTGCTTTAGTGATTTCACAGTAGATTTGTGCTGTTTGAGATGCACCCAGTGCCCATCGGCTTGTGCTAAAGGCCCATCTCTCCTCTCCTTTCCGAAAGGTCGCATCTACAAGTGCTTGTTTACTGGCTCTGTGAGCTCTCTCCTGACCCTGCCGCTGGACATGCTGTCCACGTAAGTGCCTCCCCCCCCCCGCCCGCCCGCCCATAACCCGCTCGCTGTCGGCATGGCGATTGGCCCACTCCCGCCTTGCTGGCCCCGCCTCCCCCGCTGTGCCGACGGCCTCGGTGCCATGACGGCACCGTGGTGTGGTGCTGAAAACGGCCAGCTGTGAATAAGCAGCGTGTTACCCTGCAGTCTGCCTTAGACAGGGAGTCAGTCCCTGTGACGTAAATACACTATACAGACAGGAGTACTGGGACACCAGGCCATTACACCCACAGGAACTTTTATGACGCCCCATTCTAAATCCGTAGGCATCAATACGGAGCTGGTCCCCCCTTTGCATCTATAGCAGCTGTCACTCTTCTGGGACGGCTTTCTACAAGATTTTGGACAGTGTCTGTGGGGATTTTTGTCCATTTATCCAGAAGAACATCTGTGAGGTCAGGCACTGATGTTGGACGTAAAGGCCTGACTTGCTTCATTCTAGTTCATCCCAAAGGTGTTTGATGGGGTTGAGGTCAGGGCCCTGTGTGGATCAGTCAAGTTCTTCCACGCCAGACTCACCCAACCATGTCTTTATGGGCCTTGCTTTGTGCACTGGGGCACAGTCATGCTGGAACAGAACAGGGCCTTCCTCAAACTGCTATGCATACCAACTCCATATTGATGCCTATGGATTTAGAATAGGATGTCGTAAGTTCCTGTTTGTGTGCTTAAAAATGGTGCACTGCATTTATTGCTCATGCTTGGGGGGCGTATTCTTAGTCTTGATGAATGTCCGGGGCAGAGGTAAGCCCCTGTGTATGCAGTGCTTATGAGCTGTGTGCCCGCTGTTTCCCAGGGAGAACCTGCTGGCCGACTGCCTGCAGGGCTGCTTTGTGGTCACGTGCACGCTGTGCGCCTTCATCAGCCTTGTGTGGCTGCGGGAGCAGATCGTCCACGGCGGCGCCCCCCAGTGGCTGGAGCAGAATCAGCAGCAGGCTCATAACGTGGCAGGGCCGGCCAATGAGGTGTGTTTATTTTTACCTGTCGGCGGCACACCCACATTCTACAGGCTGCAGATTGAGGGATCGTTAAACTTGGAACTTATTGCAAGTTTATTGACTGCTGTTTGTGTTATAACCACAGGGGGCGACGTTCACATTCACGATATCATTGAATTATATCCCAATTATATGTATGACTGCTGTGCTGTAGCCGTGACACTGGTATCATCCTCACTGTGGTTATGCTGCCTCAGGCCCCCGGTGCTGGGCACAGGCCTGCCGAGAACCAGCCCGCCCCGGCGCCTGTTGACCCCCCGGCCGAGAACGTGGCGGCTGCTGGGGTCCCTGCAGCCCCCGACGTCCCAGGGGATCCCGCAGAGGAGCTGGAAGCGGACGACGAAGTCGAAGCAGCAGCCGAGGACGCCGCTGATGGCAACAACGGCGCACAAGGTACCCCGTCCAGAGGGTTGTGGCTTCAAATTCTGCAGTTGGCAGAGTGATTTTACTGTTTGGCCCATATGCAAGGGCCTTAACCCCAGCTGCTCCTGGCGCACTGGCTGGCCCTCAGCTGTGCTCTTTAGATGCTTTGGGGAAAAAAGTGTCTGCACAGTAAATATAAACATTAGGGCTGTGAATCGATTAAACCAATTAATTGCACAGTTGTCTGTGATTAATCGCAATGAATGTAATTGAACGTTTTGATTTTAGCTGTGAATTCTGGAATTCTGTGCAGGGTTGCGACTGATGCTCTAGTGTTCTTTACAGTCAGGATGGAATGTGTCGACACAACCAAAGAAATACTAAGGTGTTATGACTTTACACATCACTGCTAACGCATTAACTTTGACAGCCCTGATAAATATATGATATTAAACTCAGCTTTAATGGGTCGGGTGTCACATCAGGGCAGTACGTGTGTGAGTCATGGGCCGATGGATATCTGCAGTGTCTCAGTGCGTGTGTGAGCTGGGGGCCGTTGGATATCTGCAGTGTCTCAGTGCGTGTGTGAGCCGGGGGCTGCTGTTCACTGCAAATGGCAGTTAGAGGTCTGCCGTGTCTCTCCTCGCAGATGACATGAACTGGAATGCACTGGAGTGGGACAGGGCGGCTGAGGAGCTGACGTGGGAGAGGGTGAGTGGTTTGGAGCCCATCTAGAGATTCTCCAACCTGGTACCTGAGCAACTCTACAGTGTAACTCTGTCTCCGTGTTACAGATGCTGGGACTGGATGGTTCCTTGGTCTTCCTGGTATGTACTGTTAGAGTCTCGGGGGTGTTGACTGGTAGAGCAGTGATTTGTTTCACTTTATATGGGGATGGTTTGTGGTTCAGAGTGTTAGGATACAGTGTCTGTAATCAGAAGGTCACAGGTTCAGATCCCTGGGTCGGCAGAGTGATCTCACCGTGGGGTCTCAGGGTAAGGCCCATAACCCACAGTCGGGGTGTCAAAAAGCCCTGCACATTTTTGGGTTTCCCCTCATTTAACACACCTGATTCAGGTCCTTGTGCTAATTACCACACAGCACTTGAGCTGAATCATTTATGGTGGAACAGAGAAAGAACTAAGCTACACAGGGCTCCGGCCCCCCAGGACTGGGGTTTGACACCCCTGCTCCAAGGACCGTCCGACCTTGCTTTCTGAACAATGTACATTGTTTTGGATAAATCTGGAAATGTGGCACTGTGCTTTGCAGGAGCACGTCTTCTGGGTGGTGTCCCTGAACACGCTCTTCATCCTGGTGTTCGGTACGTTCCTCTCTCTCTGCCCCCTGCTCTTGCTTCCGCTTTGTAATGCCATCGACACGGTAACGCGAATCGGGACTCCCCTGTCTTTCAGCTTTCTGCCCCTATCACATCGGGCACTTCTCCGTGGTGGGACTGGGATTCGAGGACTACGTGAGTACCCCTCTGTGGACCCCGCCTTCCCATTTCCCTGATAACGATCTGAGCGCTTCCTCAGCTACATGCCCGTACCTCTTAAGGTAAAAGTCCAGCTTGCAGTGCAGTCAGTAGGAGCCTTTTTGCCCTCTCTTCAGAGCTCAGGGAGCTGGAGATGAATGTTTTCTGGTTCCCCCTCCATCCCCCTAACAGTGAACCTCTAAAATGCCATAGGAGGTGATGTTCAGGGCCCTGCTCTTGTGTTTCTAGGTGAAAGCCTCGCACTTCGAAGGCCTGATCACCACCATCGTGGGCTACGTCCTCCTGGCCGTCACCTTGATCGTCTGCCACGTATCCTTTGCTGTCCCCGGCCTAGCAGGCACGCTGACACCTTGCACCGTGCCAGCCGGTACAGCGGGCGTCACCCGGGGCGACCGGGTAATCCTGCCGGCACAGCGGGCGTCGCCCGGGGCGACCGGGTAATCCTGCCGGCACAGCGGGCGTCGCC